ACCCCGCGCCCGGCCAGCTCAGCGCTACACGGTCGGCCGCCTCTGGCGCCCCCTGGCGTCCCGCACGGAGGACCGGGCACCTGCTGTTCCGTAACCGCCTGGGCCTCCAGCTTGGGGAGAGGGCGGAAATTTCCTCGGCCCGGCTGGCACTTCGCACAGAGCATGGGATAGACGAGGAACAATACACATTTCAGCGGAGGAGGCGAGGAAGCGGACGTCCTCACGTAGCTTTTTTGCAAAGCTATCTGGCATCATTGAGCAAAATGCATTCGTTCCTTCGCTTAGTATATGTTGCCTGAGCGCCCACTATGGGCCAGGCACTGGTCCAAGAGCTAGGGATTCAGCCCTGAACAAAACACTCGCGCTCTCTAACGAAGACTAGCTGGCTCCCCGTCCCGTGGGGGAGACAGACGGAGTAAACAGACGATTACAATGCAAAGGAAAGTGTGCTTTGATGGGGGTTGGGGGAGACTACAGGGCGCTGTGATAGTCAAGAAGAGGCAGGTCACCTGATAGGGGATCCAGGACAATTTCCCAGAAGAAATGCAGAAATCCTGAGGGGGAAAGGCCCGAGGTAAGAATCAGTAACCACCTCAGAGCCATTGAGAGCAGCTCCAGGGGTTGGGGTGGGGTGGGTAGGCCGGGAGGGGTCAGATCTGCTGGGCCTCCAGGGTCTAGAGGAGTTTGAACTTTGCCCCAAGGACACTGGGGAGCCAAGGAAGGATTTTCAGCTGCGGGAGGTCCTGCTTAGGTTTCACGGAGAAAGATCTCTCTGGGCAGGTGGGAGAGAGGAGGGAAATGTGGTGCCCAGGCAGGTCTCCTCATCTGTCTGGTCACCAGTCCTGTGTGTCTACAGGACCTAACACTGGGCTCCACAGGAGGCACGGACTGATCCCAGGTGGGGTGGGCCCAGGGGAGGGGCAGCTGTACCCTCACCCACAGCTCTCCTGTGAGCCCACTGACTCCAGAAGGGGGTAGGCCAGGCCTGGGGTAGGGGTTGGGGCCTAACTTGGTTCCACCTGTGAATCAAGGACTATGAAAACCTGCAAGTCCCTCCACTCACCACCTAGAATGAAGGCAGGGACGACCGTCTGTTTGGGCCATAGGCACTAGGGATAACAGCTGTGTGCAAAACAGTCATCCTTACCCTGTTCTAGTGGGTGAGTCCAGGGTAGGGTGGGCCACAGTCATTATGAAGAACACACTCTCTCCTATGTCTATGTATCGTTTCAGCCATGATTCTTCCTCCACATGCAGCCAGAGGGGGCGAGGCCATGTTGTCCCTCTGCTCCCCCTCCCATGTTCCTGGCTCACCCAGAGTAAAAGCCAAAGTCCTCACCACAGCCCTCCGCCCTGATCTCACCTCTGCTGACCTTGTCTGGAGCCCCCCACCCCCTCCCCATGCACAGTGATCCCCCGCCCACTTCCTTTCTGTTCCTCACATCTCAGCCCTGGCCCCGCACCGGGCCTTGGCACCTGCTCTTCATCCTCCCTGCCCCCCAAATCTCTCTTCCCCCAGATCCTCACCTGGCTGGCTCCTTTGCAGTCTCTGTTTCAGCATTAATTTCACCAACTGCTCGGCCTCATTAGTAATGAAAGGAATGCAAATTAAAACCACACTGAGATGCGATTTCTCACCCATCAGCAGGACAAAAAGTTAAAATTTGGTCCATATCAAGTGCTGATGAGGCTGTGAGGACGGTGGGGCCTTGTCCCATGCTGGGGGAGCATCTGGGTGCAGCCACTTTGGAAAACTTTGGCATTAGCTAGCAACAGGTGACTTTGCTCCTCCCAGCAATTCTCCCAAGTCAACTGCATCCCAGGGTTCTCAGCCCAGACTGCCCAGGCCTGCACCCCACCCCCACAGTCATACTATGTAATCCGTATGATAGGGTTGGGGTCTCTGGTATTCGCCATTTATTTATTTATTTTAAATTCCTCACCCAAGGATATTTTTCCATTGATTTTTAGACCCCTGACCTGGGCCTGGGATCCAGCCTGCAACTGAGGTATGTGCCCTAGAGGAATCCAACCAGAGCCCATTGCATCTGAAGGCCAATGCTCTAACCACTGAGAAAAACTGGCTGGGGGCTGTATTAGCATTTTAAAGAACTCCCCAGGGGCCCTGGCCAGGGTAGCTCAGTGGTAGAGTTGTAAATTGGTACAGCCACTATGGAAAACAGTAGGGAGGTTCCTCAAAATATTTTTAAAAAACTATATGACTCAGCAATTCCACTTCTAGGTATTTATCTCAAAAAATCGAAAACACTAATTCGAAAAGATATATGCATCTCTCTCTGTTCATCAAAGCATTACTTACAAGAGCCAATATATGGGTAGATGTCCACTGATAGATAAATGGATAAAGATGTGGTGCATATAGAACTAGTACAATGGAATATTACTTGGCCTTTAAAAAAATGAAATCTTGCTATTTGTGACAATATGGATAGACTTAGAGGGTATTATACTAAGTGAAGTAAGTCAGACAGAGAAAGACAAATACCATATGATTTCACTTAAATGTGGAATCTAAAAAGCAAAATAAAAAACCAACCAGAAACGCAGAGAACGGAAGAACAAAGTGATGGTTGCAGATGGAAGGGGAAGAAGGGATGGGCAAAAAAAGTGAAAGGGATTAAGAAGTACAAATTGCCAGTTATAAAAAGTCATGGGGATTTACGTCATAGGGAATATAATCAATAATATTGTAATGGCTATGTACGATGACAAATGGGTACTAGAGTTACTGGGGGGATAACTTTGCAAGGTATATAAATGTCTAATCACTATGTTTTAGACCTGAAAGTAAAATATTATTATATATCAACTATAATTAAAACGTAAGTTTTTTAAAAAGAAAGAAAAAAAAAGCACTAATGGCCCCAGCCTGTTTTGCTAAGTGGTTAGAGCGCGGACCCACAGAATGAAGGGTTGCTGGTTGGATTCCAGTCAAGGGCACATACCTCAGTTGCAGGCTCAATCCGGTAGAGACTCGTATAGGAGGCAAACAATTGATGGATGTGTTTCTTTCACATTGGTGTTTCTCTCTTTTTGTCTCTTCCCCCTCCCTTTCCCCTCTCTCTAAAAAAAAATCAATGGAAAAAAATATCCTGGGGCGAGGATTAACAAAGAAGCATAATGGAGGAATAGAAGGAAAAACCATCACATTGTACACTTTAAATATTACAATTTTATATGTCAACTATACCTCATTAAAGCTAAAAAAAAAATCAAGTCATAGACAAATGCATACAGTTAGTTGGATTTACATAAGGTTCAAAAGCAGGCAAACTAGTCCTGGCCAGTATATTCAATGGTTAGAGCTTTGGCCACGCTCTGAGGGGTCGTCAGTTGGATTCTCAGTCAACAGCAGGTACCTGGGTTGCAGGTTCAATCCCTAACCCTTGTCTGGGTGTGCGTGAGAGGCAATCAATTGATGTGTCTCTCTCACATCGATGTTTCTCTCCCTCCCTACCTACCTTCCAATCTCGCTAAAAAATCAGTGGAAAAAATATTCTCCGGTGAGGATTAACAAAAAACAAACAAACAAAAGCAGGCAAATGAAACCCTATAGTGTACAGAGATGTGTATGGAGGTGGTAGAACTACAAAGGAAAGTGAGGAAGTGTGGAGAGTGGACAGCTGGGGAAGGAGGCTTCCGGAGTTCTTGGTCATGTTCTGTTTCTTTTTTAAAAATATATTTTTATTGATTTCAGAGAGGAAGGAACAGGGAGAGATAGAAACAACAATGATGAGAGAGAATCATTGATCGGCTGCCTCCTGCACACCCCGAACTGGGGATCATACGCCCTGACCAGGAATCCAACCGTGACCTTCTGGCTCATAGGTCAAGGCTCAACTAAAGAGTCACCTGACCCAGCTATGTTCTGTTTTTTACTGCAGAAAGATCTTTATTAGACTTTAAACCGAACGTAGGCAATGTAAACCCTTTTGGTGCACAAGACATATTTAACAAAAAACAACTTAAGTCACCTCCTCAAGGGAGCCTGCCTTGATCACCAATCCTGGCCAAAGTAGGATCCCGCTGCCCCCAACACCACTTTTTTATCCCATTGCCTTCTTCAGTTTTCCTCAAAGCACTTGGTAGGGGCTCAATCTGGTACTTGGTGGATGACTGATTACCGGCTCTACCTCCTCCTGCGTCACCCTAGGCGAGTTACTAGCCTCCCTGAGCCTCAGTTTCCTCAACTGTAAAGGGTGGGGGACTGGCATCTCCGGGAGCTGCCGGGATGGGTGAAGGCCGGCTCCCACGCCTCCGCCTCTCCATGGCCCTCAGGCACCTGCGCCTGGGGGAGGTGTCTTCTGGGATCTGGGCTGTCCCCTCCCTTCGTATTCAATTGCCCCGCCGTCCCTCCTCCTGGCCAGTCTTCGCCCCCTCAGTCGGGTGGGCCGTAGAGGCTACGAGGCGGAAGGGGGCTGTGGGCGAGGCCCCGGGACCTCAGGGAAAGGAGAGACCACGCCGGGGTGTCAGATCCTCCCGGAAATGGGCGGCCTCCGCCCCGGGGCTGCGGGGGACCCGCCAGCCCCCATCTCCCTCCGCCCCTGGCCCCGGGGCGCTGTCCTCCGGCGCCCTCTGCTGGCCGACGCGCTCCCTACGACCGTCGCTGGGCTGTCGCGGGGGCGGAGCACCGTTTGGGAAATAGCTAATGTGACCAGGAAACGCCTCTGAGAGGAAGACACATTTGACT